AAGCAGCCAAATGACCATTTTTACCCATTCAAGAGTTTGAACCGCTTCAAAATGAAACAAAATCTCTTACTAGACCTCTTTACTATCATAAAATAATATTCTTACTTTCTTAATTGAAAATGAATTACTCCGTATTAGGTAAATAACATAAAAGAAAAGAACAAATTTCTTTAATTAAATAATAAAACATTTCATAGCTATGGAACGGTTTGTGTCCGCTTCAGTTGGAAAAAGTGGTATTCGGATAACTCTTTACTAGCAAAAAGTTACACATTTTCCCATTTAAATGGTAAACAGTTATTAGTATTGAGACAATAAAAAAACACTGTGCCTTCAATAAAGTTGTGTTAAAAAGGTCCCTTGAATAACTAATGCCTACTCTATCGAGAAAGACAACCAATAAATAAGGCATGCAATTGTTATGCAATATCCAGCTCAACATGCTGTCAAAGCAATATTTTAAAATATGAATACATGAACATTTCATGTGCAATTAGATCCAGTTATGTTAATGCCAAAAACCCACACACTAAAAAGTACAAAGTTAAACAATCAAAATAGTTAATAAATTAGTCTAAACACTATAAAATACAATAAGTTAAACCATCACGATAACTAATACAGAATACCTTTGAGTAGCAACTAGCAACCAATCCCAATTCTTTGAGCTTTTCATAGAGTGGCATATCAGAGTGGCATTAAGTGTTTAGTGACAAAATATATAGTAACGTTTGCAGTAGAACCATCAAAAATTTCAGCTTCAGTGCCGTGAATAAATGAAAAAAATATTAGGGTGTCTTACCTGAAAATAAAGGAGCAAAGGTAACACAGAATAACTAAAATCCCTTAAGGAAAGAATAACATTTGGGATTAAAGTGAACACAAACATGGGGTTTTCTAAATAAAAGTTTATGTTTTTCAATGCTAAAAAAGGTCGCTTAGACCCATTACAAGAGGCATGTTTCAAAAGTCTTATTCTCTCAAAAGAAGATAAAGGAGTTTCATTTGAAAAAATAAAGCAATTTCCCAAACCTAGTAGCGAACATGTTTAGCTTAATATAAATATATCACATATGTAATAAAAAATCAGAATAACTTATTAAATGATATGCAAGTATGGTTAAACGGAACTCTTTCTAGAAAAAGAGAGATTACGTTTTTAAAACTCGCAATGTGCTGTTGTATTGAGAAATGTTGAAGAAGCAGTTGCCTATTTGGAGTGTAGAGGAGATGTGAAGGGTTTCTTCACTGTCTTTAGCAGGGAAATTTGAGCACAATAAACTTGTAATTCTCACCTATGTCCTCAAACTTATTTACAAAAGTCTTTGGCAATTGCTGGTATTCAAACCAAACTGTCTTAACACACAACTTCACAATCAAACTCAAAAACACTGTTATCTCAAAGTATCAAACTAAGAAACAGAGGATTTGTGTAGCGAAGAGCATAATAAAAATAAAAATCATAAAAATGTAAGCAAGAGCCATGAATTTCAGCAACAATAATACAAATCAAGCAAAGGACAATAACAATTGCAGATCAAGTGTGAAAAAAAAGTGTGAAAAATTAGGTTAAAAAACTAAGAAGAAGAAAACATACCATTAATCAACAGATAAACTCATAAACCATAGGCTGATGACTTAAGCAGGGCACACGAACCTTCTACTTCAATTCGCCTGGTAATAGAGGAGCAGCGAGCGGCTAAGACAACAGTCGGCTTGGCACCTTAGCCGTTGGGATTGAGCGATTGTAAGTGTGGCCACTGCGATTGAATAGCTGAGGCGGGAGCTTGGCGGGCCTGGCGATAACTTGCGACGCTATGCCGGAGGCTGAGGAGCGAACGGCCGATAACTTGCGACGCTATGCCGGAGGCTGAGGAGCGAACGGCTATGGCGACGGTCAGCTTGGCTTTCTCTTCCGTTTTCGAGTCTAGCGCCTAAGACAAACGGACAGTCGGCCTCTTCTATTTCCAAAGGCACGCCACTTTAATAATTTTGAAAACTATTGATAAGGGTTATAATAGAACAGATATGAAAACATATTTCTATTAATTACAATAATGACCCCGAACCACATCTAATTTTATGGAAATTATAAATATCACCCCGTTTTTTCTTTTCATATGGGCTATATAAAGCAACCGATATGGATTAGTTTTGGAATTCACGAATTTAACCCATTCGCCAATGTCATATTTTTAGTAATTATGAATTTAACCCCGTGTTACTATACTATAATAGTTGAATTTCAACCCATATTAAATCCTAGTTATAAAATGCATATTTTGCACTAGTAGATCAGATCTACTTTCTCCCAATCTTCTTTTGAGGGACATGATATCTAATTGGGTTCCTTTCTTTGAAATATTGGAAATACATCCTTGAACATATATGCACACTGCAATATAGCATATGTTGAGTTCCAAAGTGTTATGTAATCAAATGTGAGTTTTTTGTTTCTAGACACTTGCAATTGTTGGACAACTTCACATAACATGCTCATTCAGGATTCACTTTTGATAAGAAAAGAGACACTCTCCCTTATAGCATGTATTACAAATTTGAATCTAGATAACCCATTTTGAACAATATGATTCAAGATAGGTGCACAACACCTCACATGAAAAAGTTTCCCACCACAATGAAAATGTTTATTCATCTCAAATATTTACATCAAATCTTGATTGTAGTGTCATTTGCTGAAGCATTGTCTATTGATATAATATAAATTTTGTTCTAATTTCCCCAATCTTTCAAACATTTGTACAAAGCATCTGAAATCTGTGTGGTGGTAGAATATGAATAAAATTCAGTGCCCATTTGTTGAGCTCTCATTCAACATCCTGAATATGTGCTATGACTACCATGATACATACCAATCTTTTGATTTTTTTATTTCCGTAAATCCGTCATCAAATATTTTTTTAAACGCCAATGAGCATATCTTTTGCCATTTCCTTTTCGTACTCATAAACTTTGATGGAGTTGTTTCTGAAAGTAACTTGTCGACTTCTTTCATTACAAGGATTAGCTACTTTCATCATAAAATTGAACTCTTTCTACAATGGAGAATGAATGCTCATGCATCATGGACCAATGACAAATAACTTCTTCATTACCCACGAGGCCATGATCGTACTCTCCCCCACAACTATATATCGGAGCTAGGGAAGCCATACTCAAATTGCTTGCTCGAAAGTTTAGCAGACCCTGCTACCTCATGCACACATTTTTTTAGAATACATATATCTTCACATATATGTCTGTTCAAATGTGTAATTGTGCCACTCTTTTGCCAAGACAACTTCATTTTTAGTGACTGCATTCAACTTTAACCACCACTCCTTTACCGTTGTTTATCTTAAAGAAACAATCTTTCCAAATTGTTGACTATAACACTCTTTCTTTATTCAAAACTAGAGCCGAATATTCAATTATAGGCACTTGATCTCCAGCGCAACCCACCTGAGAGACTTCATATGACTCATCGGTGTTGATAGATGTGTCAACTTCTTTTTCTACCATTTTATAATTTGAGTTTGACTCTTCACTAAGAGGTAGAATGATGGTGGATGGTGCTTGCACAAATGTGGCATACAAGCATACATCATACAAATGAATGCAACACAATTAGGTACATCCCTCTAACTATGACTAAATATGCACAATCATCTCATTAGATAAAGGTTTCTATATCCTTGCAACCATAAAAGAATCACACATCACACATTCACATCTTCGCTAAAAATGTTATGATTTTGCAACATTTAAATTATTTTTAGCTACCTAGTATGTAGTCCCCCTTTAGTCTTTTTTTATATGCACGGGTATAATCAAGACCATGTACTATTTGTAACACTTATCAATAAGGTGTAGACGTGTAGTGATGTTAGAATTATTATAACTAGCTCCTGATTATTTAGAACCCGTTTGGTAATACTCAAATCGGCTGTATTGACTGATTGTGTTGGAATTTAAGAACTTCTGGCTTCTGAAGTGGTTGGATTGACTGATTGTACTGATTTATGAAAAAATTATATTTAAAATATACTCCGTATTTTATTAGTAAAATAAAGAAAAAGTAAATGAAAAGTTGTTAAAAAAGTTGTAAATTTCCAGTGCTTTTACTTTAACTAATCTAAGACCAGACTTAAATAAGACTTAAACAAATTAGATCAGACTTGAATTTGAGAGTTGTAAAACACACAGTCATATACATATACCAGATCAGTCTAAATTAAACAAAACCAGACCATACTTAAATAGACCAAATCAAACTAAATCATACTCTCTTCATTCCATTAAACTTGATCAATAAGCCTCATGGTTGATACTTGTAGAGAAGAGAGAGAAGAGAGGAGATAGGAGAGAGGAAATTGATGACGTTTCTTGGGAGACTTAAAGTTAAGGAAAAATTTGACTTTGCACCCATTTTTGGGTGGTATGGAACTTGCACCACATTTTCAAAAAACTTTCATTTTACATCCATTTAGAATTTTTTCTTCACAAAACGTTGTGTGTTGGGGTGCAAAATGATTTTTTTTTCAAAATAGGGTGCAAATCCAATATTACCCAAAATATGACCCAAAAAGTGGGGCGCGAAATAGGGAAAACTGTCAAATAAGTCCTCGAACTTTCATAAAAGGTCAAATAAGTCCTTATGTAGGAGGCTCTGTCCGGCCGTCGTGATTTGGGGCGGTTCCCGGTGGAATTTTTTGATGAAACTTTTTGAGCATCTTATTCATCAAATCCAGTTTACTCATAACAAATTTCAGCTAAAACATCAATCAGGAACGCATTCAAATTAATTCTTGAAGATAACTGCACATTTAACTGCACAGTTATCTTCAAGAATTAATTTAAATGCGTCCCCGATTGAAGTTTTAACCGAAATTCGGTATGAATAAACTAGACGTGATGAATAAGATGCTAAAAAATTTTCATAAAAAAATTGTATTGGAAACTACCTCAAATCGCGATGGAGTCTTACATCAAAATTCGAAAACCTATTTGAAAGAATAAGTTATTCACTGCTCACAACCCAGCCCACTGCATTGTCTCAGCTCGAGAATTCATTTTTCAGCGTTTGGGGTGTCGCCTGCTAAGCAAACTCTGAAATATTTTTAATAATTTGCATTCCAGAAGCTTTGTTCACCTGAATAGCATCTCAACACACACAATCTGGGAATGTTTACTTTGAATTTTGGGGTTGCAGCAGCTCTTTGTGGTCACAAACCCGTATTTCCGAAACTTAAAAGTTCATATTTTACAAATGAAAGTTGTGATGATCACCTGCTTGGTGGCTTCAATTTGGTGGGGCTTCCAAGTGCCAAACAAAGAAAAAAATGCGTTTCTTCTCAGTTAAAATTGGCGGGTAGGGGAGATAATAAAGCAGTAGGGGGCGATAGCAGGTGCGATGCGATTGTGATTGGATCAGGGATTGGTGGTTTGGTGGCTGGGACTCAATTGGCCGTGAAAGGAGCCAAGGTTTTGGTACTGGAGAAGTATGTGATTCCTGGTGGGAGCGCTGGGTTTTACCACAGAGATGGTTACACTTTTGATGTTGGATCTTCTGTCATGTTTGGATTCAGTGATAAGGTTAGTCACACTTCTGATTATATTAGTCCACTTTGTTTCATTTTAAATGGAAACATAAGCAGTGAAACTTCTAAGGAAACCTACAATAAGGCTATGTTCAGAACCAGGAAAATCGTAGGACAGGGAAAGAAGAAAGTACAAGGGGAAAAAATACCAAGGCCATTTGTTGTTTGTTCTTAGTACGAGGGAAAATCAAATTTGATCAAATCTAGAAATATTTAAATAAATCTAGTTTGAACAAATATAATATATTGAGCATGAGGCATTTTTTCCAAAATGTTTTCCTTACATTTTCTCCTTCCAAATTCCCTATTTATTTTTACCCCCTGCAATTTCCTAGTTTCAAACAGACCCCAGGTGCTTGCCTAATGCTGGAAGAGCTTGTTGAGCACACGGTAAAATTGAAATAGGTAGTATTTATAGAGTATAAGAGCCTAGACCCTGACTATTTGGCTTGAATTATTTCCCATGTTCATCCTTGAACCTAGCGCTATACATGAGGTTTGGACTTGAGAGTGGATTCTCAGACCCGACTGGCCGAACCCTGATCTTGGCAGCAGACATTGGCCTTGGCTCGGCACAGGAAGACAAACACGAAATAGCTGAATAGAGTGCAGGATCACACCAGCCTGCCCATCTGATTTGAGATCTAATGAGAGAGGCCTCATGTCATGGGAACGGCATATGTCATGTGCTTAGATAGTTAGCCAACACCTGTCGTGCATCCAAGGCGTCAAGACACATGTTGGACATGCGAGTAGCCTATACTTATCATTGTATGTCTATAAATACCTCTGACGGGACTGAGGCAAGGGTTCTGAACTTGATGGTACCCATAAGGGATTATGGCTGAATACAAGATGATAAACCGAAACGGCTGACAACCCGAACCAGCAACAAAAATCGAAATGACCTTAAACCTAGATTGATAAAAGCCGGCCAAACATAGGCGGTTTGGTTCATGGTTTTAGGTTTATCCTCTGTTCTAAAAATCGTTCTAGGCGCCCGACTAGTCCCCGCCTAGGCGCTAGGCGGTGGTCAGGCACCCCGATTTTTGTCTAGGCGCTCCGACTAATTGGTTTCCCTTCTAGGTGAATTAGTCGTCCGCCTATGGCGCCTAGTTGCTCACCTAGAGCGCCTAATCGGCCGCCTAGACCGTCTAGATTCGTCGAACATTACTTTACTTTTAAATTTTAATATTCTAAGCGATATATGTACTTTAACTTTAGCCATGGATATAAAGAAATGAAGTTTTAAATTAAGATAAAACTATATATGTTTGTATATATACCTAAATTTTATCATTAATTATATTTATACTATAATGAAGTTAAGTGATCAGTTATCATATACTACGTATGATTAAATGTGAGAATTCTATCTTTCATGTTTGTTAATGTATATGTATATATGTATTTTATACACACAAAAATACAATATTACTTATCATATTTATGCAAAAATATAGATAAAATGCAATTTCTATGTCTCCGACTAGTCCCCGACTAGGCGCCCGCCTAGCTGCCTAGGCGCTAGGCGCTGGGCTGACGCTCGACTAGCACCTAGCGCCTTTTAGAACATTGGGTTTATCCATAACCAACCGACCGAACCAAGTAGAAGTGTAGAACTGACTGATACTGACAAACCAACTGAAAATACCTGAATGAAACTTAGTAAAGGTACTATGTTCGGTTTTCGGTTTCACATTTCACAAAACCGAAAATTGACCAGACCAAAAACCTACAAAACCGAACCGTCGAACGAACCTATTAGGGATATTGTCTCTGCTTAGAGTGATGATGCATTCTTAAGTATGTGATTATGTTTCATTACTTGTTGATTATTGTACATTTGTGTCTCATATCTGCACACAGGGAAATCTGAATCTGATAACTCAGGCATTGGGAGCTGTAGGATGTAAAGTACAGGTGATACCTGACCCTACAACTGTTCATTTCCACTTACCGAATGAACTTTCTGTCCGAATACACAGAGAATACACTGACTTCATTGCAGAACTTGTTAACAAATTTCCACATGAGAGGGAAGGAATTCTGAAGTTCTATGGTGAATGTTGGAAGGTGGGTTTTTAATTAAGATCAATTTAGCAGCTGTTTCTTTAATTTTTAATAAATTTGATCCGTTTTGTACATTTGACTGACATTGATGATTTTGATCAACGTGTTTGGGCAGGTCTTCAACGCCTTGAATTCCTTGGAATTGAAATCATTGGAGGAACCTCTTTACCTTTTTGGACAGTTTTTTAAGAAGCCCCTAGAATGCTTGACGCTTGGTAATTATTATTTTTAATTCAGTATCTTATGTACTTCTCTAATTAAGAACTTAATATCCTATGTTTAAAGCAGCACGTTTTACTATCACCCTATTGTCTTCTGGTATTCTACTTCCTCCATCCCATAGTGATAGGCTTGGATGTGATTTCATGTGGATAAGGAAATAGTTTTATAGTTAGCTGGAATTCAATAAATCCTCTCTTTATCTCCCCTTTTTCCTCTCAAGGAAATTTTAAACACTCCTAATCAAAATATCCTTGTCATGCCTCCTGTTTTCTCATTACAGCTTTCTATTTGCCCCAGAATGCTGGTGACATTGCTCGGAAGTTCATTAAAGACGCTCAGTTGCTCTCCTTTATTGACGCAGAGGTTAGTTAGCTTCTTTGCTTAATAATACCCCCTCTGGTGTAAGTGCGCTTTCGGATGTTTTTTGTTTCACCATGTGTGTCATTTTATAAAACAAAGTTAGTAAATGGCAATACCTTAAAATTATAAATTCTATTCTCATTCTTTTTATTCCACTTGATTTCATCCAAAAGGACACTTGTTGTGAACTGAAGTAGGAATTTGCTTGAGCTTTCACTACCTTTATTAGCACAATAACTGCTTTCTTGTAAAAACTAATGTTGTTCTTCAGTGCTTCATTGTCAGCACTGTTAAAGCCTTACAAACACCAATGATCAATGCAAGCATGGTACTTTCATGTTAACTCTCCACTTTCCCATTTTATTTACACCGTTCCCTCCCAACTTCTTACTCTTACTATTCTTCCTTAGGTCCTATGTGACAGACATTTTGGCGGAATCAACTATCCTGTTGGTGGCGTGGGAGAGATTGCCAAGTCCCTAGCACAAGGCTTGGTCAGCCAGGGTAGTCAAATACTATACCGGGCAAATGTAACCAATATTATTGTTGAAAATGGCAAAGCTGTAAGATTCGCTACACTTTTTGCTTCTTCTAAAGGTTAATTTGAATGGAACGTTTGGAGAGTTAAAGAGTTTTGGAGGGGAAGGATTTGGAGGGCTTAGTGTTGATCAATATAATGCTTCTTAAAACGAATAAAAGCCGATTGAAAAGTTTAATGATCACCTTTTTTACAACCAAATCAACGTTCATACTATCAGGAAGGTGACTGCAACCAGCAAATACTTGTTAAATCTAAAGTTATGGTGATAGAGAGTAAAGAGGCACAGTTGTAGACACAAAAAGATGTTCCATAAAGTGATAAAACCAAGATAAAAATGAAGCCACACATGTGTGGAACTAGAAAGAAAAGTACATGAAATGCCCGATGGTACTCCCTAGAAAGCTTAGCTTGGCCAACTTCCTAGGGCCGCTCAACTCTAAAAGACTCTTGAATTGTGCTTATCTGTCAATACTTTTTCTAAAGGATGGTCATATTTATAATCTACCACAATACTCTGTATGTAAATAAGGTAATAAATAAATTAGTAATAAATCAAGGATGATAATAGTAATCCGTAGACTAATGCTGATTGGGTTCTTGATTGATTGCTCATTTGGAATTGTTTCCTCATTGTTTCCCTGATTCTCCTCTGATTTTGCTGGTCAAGATCCGTACTATAGGGTTTCCAAATTTATCAGACAACAATAATGGTTGGTTTCGAGGTGAACCTTGGTTCTATGCATAGTAGTCAATGGCTACATATGGCGCGCGCCATATGCGCCATCGCCATGAAAAACTGGTCGTCGCCATAGCGCCATATGCGCTTTATGCGCTATTCATATATGCGCCATCGCCATGCGCCATGAAAAATGCCTTTGAGCCATGGCGATCGCCGTGCGCCATGACCACTATACTTCTATGCACCTTGTTTGTTTCCATTTTTGAACAAAACCAAGGTTTTAAGAGAATCTACCTCGGAGAACCTCCAGAAACCCTATTTTGGAGAACCTCTGAATAAGGGTTTTTGGAGGTTGAGTTCTCTTTACAAGTAATTTAAATATGTTCACCTAATTGCATCTATCTAGGTTAATTTAATAATTAGCTAAACAACATTTTTATATATGTACATAGGTTCACCCAAATTTCCCTAACCTATGGTCACTTATTTTTATTAAACCCATTTATTTAAGTTCATTTGACCCGTTAATTAGGCTCATTCTATCCAAATGGACTGCATAGATTTACAAACCCCATTCATTTTTTTTTTATTTATCTAATACACCCTTCTAGTAGAATGTCCAAGATCTGCAAAAAAACCCACAATCTTATTACCTTCTTTATAAGTGCGCTTGAAATGAATCAAAAGCTTTTTAGAGCATTGCCAGTTGCAGCACCAAAAACACTTCTCCAGTAGACAATGCATTGAGGTTTGGTACATATTGCATTCTCAGACATTGATGTCATGGTGTATGGTGAGCCATTTTGGTGATGGCCGATTGAGATGAGGCAGCAACGAGCTCAGATTTCCTATCAACGCAAACCTCCTAAGGATTTAGATTGATACTAGGCAGATGGTTTGTTTCCTGCAAGGTAGCTATGCGAATTGAAATTCAGTGAAGCAGTTGCGCTTTTATATATCACCTACTATGAGCTCAATAATTTAATAAAATATCAACTATTAACTCTCCAAAACCCCCACAATCCAAATAGACCTTAACTGGCTACTTGGAGACTATCGTGTTACTAGGTGCCAAATAAAGATGCTCTTTTTGTTCTCATTTGCCTTCTAGGTGGGAGTGAAGCTGTCCGATGGGAGGAAGTTTTATGCAAAAACCATAATATCAAATGCTACCAGATGGGATACTTTTGGTTAGTTCTTTCTGAAGCTTTAGGAATTATATATTGTCAATGAAAAGAAAGCTGAATGGTTCTTTTTTACACACTTCGTATGTTGATAATAATAAAAAGGGAAAATTCCCGAAATAGGAGTAAAAACGTTTTGAAATTCCAAAACAGGAGTACTATGTTTTTATTCCCTAAAGAGGATTAATTACTGCCAAGCTTGGAAAATACTTCCATGTTTACAGCCTGGTAATGCCAAAAAATGGCAGTAATTACTCCTATTTAGGGAATAAAAACATAAAAGTCACATTTTGGAATTCACAATCGTTTTACTCCTACATAGGGCAATTTCTTTAATAATACAGTCTTAGTGGATGTCTATATAGTCATGGAAGGAAATCACAAAATCACAATGAAATATCGATATTCTAGGCATGTGAAACAAATGCTTTCTAGAAATTGTTCAATATAGGACTAAAACCATATTCAAAATTCAAAAACAGGACTAAGTATGTTTTATTCCCCAAATAGGACTAATGTAGTCCTACTAAAAGAATAAGTTGATTAAAATAGGAGTGAATGAGTCCTATTTTGAGAATAAAACAAAGAGAGTCCTATATATGAACTTAATGTTTATTTTAGTCCTATTTAGACAGTTTTCTCAATGCTTTCTAGGGCTGAAAATAACCCACCAAATCGAGTGAAACGGAACTGCCCAAAACCAACCCAAACTGATCTAACCATATGCATTTAAGGTTTTCACTGTCAAAACTGACCTAAGCTGACCAAAATCGACTGAAACCAACAAAAAACTGACCAAAACTGACAAAACCATAATTGAATTCATCTAGCCTTTCCTATTTTAAAACAAATACCAAATTATAAAGTACAATAATAAGCCCAATTGATTATTGTATCCAGGCTTTTGCTACTTCGGGTCTTTTCACAAAAATTAAAAAATCTTTGGTTTTGAACTGTTCAAACCAAACCAACCAAGCTTAAACTGACCTAAACTGGATAACTTTTGGTCCAAATCACTCCCATTCTAGTCATGTGCCATATCTTTTACGACAAAGCATTTAATGATGTATGCTTTTAAATTGTAGGGAAGCTTTTGAAGGCAGATTATCTGCCCAAGGAAGAAGAGAGGTTCCAGAAGACATATGTTAAGGCGCCATCTTTTCTTTCTATTCACCTGGGGGTTAAGGCAGAGGCTCTACCAGCCAACACAGATTGCCACCATTTTATCCTTGAGGTACTGCGTACTAAGGACATTTAGTACGGACTAGAATATTCGGTTATGTCTCTTGGTTTGGTTAATTTTCCTAGGGTCTGGATTCTACAGGATGATTGGGAAAATTTAGAAAAGCCTTATGGAAGTATATTTTTAAGTATTCCAACTGTTCTTGATCCGTCATTGGCACCAGAAGGATGCCATATTCTTCATATATTTACAACATCAAGCATAGATGATTGGGAGGTATCTTTTTAATTAGTTTGTTGTTGAATTCAAACCCTGCAAGCTATTTTCTTCTTTTGATTAATAAGAAGAGGTTGTTTATTCATTAGGGGCTCTCTCAAAACAGTTATAATGCAAAGAAGAAGCTTGTGGCTGATAGAATCATAAACAGACTTGAAAAGACGCTACTTCCAGGACTCAAATCATATATTGTTTTTATGGAGGTTTGGTTAATGATTTCACTAACATGAGAAGGAAGAGTAATGTGAGAGTTAATTCAAAATTCATTTTGTACATACACTCATGTTCTTTCTTTATGCTTGGTAGTCGTTACCTTTTTTGCGGCATTACCTTCTTAAGATGGGGGAAGAATTCCTAAATAATTTATTCTGAGTTCCCATTTTAGTTAATAAAGCAGAAGGAAACCTGAAGTACTGAAAAACCTTTTATGTTTTTTAATGCTTTCTATCATCATAGGTGGGTACACCAAAGACACATCGACGATACCTTGCGCGTGATAGTGGAACGTATGGACCAATGCCACATGGGATTCCAAAGGGTTTATTAGGAATGCCATTTAACACAACTGTAAGTTACTTGTTCTTTCGGCTATGTTACCCGGAAAGGCCAAAATTGCAGGGAAATGATGTTTTTTTATGCTTGGTTTTACTTGTAAATCTCTTATCATCATTTTTGTCCTTTTATCTTCTTTATCTTTCTTATGTTCTTTATTCTTTTATCATTTTTCTTTTATATACATATATACATACACATATATATATATATATATATTCTTTTTATCCTTTTTATCATATCATTTGGGTGTTTATCTTATATTTATCTTTATCTTTATCTCATCTTTTTTATCATTTTATCATTCCTTACCCCAAAATCTTTTGGGACTAAGACTTGTATTTTGTTGTATCACACTTTATCCTTTTACCTTTTTTATTTTATTTTCCTTTTGCTCCAATATCATGTATTGATTCATGTCAGTCGAATCCAAAATCTTTTGAGACTAATGTTTGTATGTTGTTGTTGTTGGTTTTACTTGTAACATTCAAAAGAAAATCAAATATGATTAGAGTGTTTCGGATTTTATATGTATTCAGATTTCTTGATCTTTATATAGCAAATATGTATGTGTGTGTGTGTATAACATAAAATAACATGTGCGAGCACACACACACACATATTCCCTCTGTCCCTTTAAAACTTGGTCAAGTTTGACTAACACGGAGAATTAAAGTGTCAAAATTAGTAGGACAACAAAAAAGGTAAAGTTGATAAAGTTTTAAGGGACGTGGGAAGTATATAAATGACTTCGAGAGACTGCGTACATCCGACCCCCCCCTTACCCCACCATAGGTGGGAGCCTTTGCGGCATTGGGGTAATGATGATGATGAGGCTAAAGGGTCAAATAGGCCCTCGAACTAACTTAAAAGGTGCAAATCACCCCTTATATAGGAGGCTCTGTCCGGCCGCCACCATTTGGGGTGGTTCCCGGTGGAATTTTTTGATGAATTTTTTTGAGCAACTTCTTCATTAAGTCTAGTTTATTCATACCAAATTTCAGCTAAAAATCAATCGGGAAGACAGTCAAATGAAATTCTGAAGATAACTGCGCAGCTAAACAACGCAATACATTTTAGAAAATCATTTGATTGTTTTCTCGGTTGAATTTTTATTTGAAATTTGGTATGGGTAAACTAGACTTAATAAAGAAGATGCTCAAAAAATTTCATCAAAAAATTCCATCGGAAACCGCTCCAAATAACGATGGCCGGACAAAGCCTCCTATACAAGGGGTGATTTGCACTTTTGAAGTTAGTTCGAGGGCCTGTTTGACCCTTTAGCCTTGAATTTATACCATTTTCTTCTCAAATTTTATTTCCTTTAGAAATTTTCTCTTCTAACCGAGGTGTGCCCACTAGACTTAAGGCAAAATTTAGCGGACAATAATTAAGCCTGCATTAATGTGTGGCGTAAAGTTTTCAACGGTGAAACAATGTCATTATCAAAAGATGAGTGTGACATGGATGCTTAAGTTGCGTTGGATATGTGGACATACCAGAAAAGACCGTTTGAGGAATGCGATAATCAGACAAAAAGTGGGACTAACACTTATAGAATATAAGATACATGAGTCTCGATTGCAGTGATTTGGTCATGTGCACAGAAGACCGAGTGATGCACCTGTTAGACAACTTGAGAGGTGAGGAGAAGAAGCGGGGAGGAGAGGTAGAGGAAGACCCAAACAAACTTGGATTAGAGGAATTAGAACGAATATGCTTCTTCTTGGGTTGGATGAAAGTATGACTTTGGAGAGAGCAAAATGGAGAGCGCATATTCGTGTGGACGATTGATCGCTTTTCTCTTTGTTTTTTCTTTTATCATTTATCTTCTTAATCTTTATATGTTCTTATGTTATTTTTTCTTTCTTATGCTCTTTTATCTTTTTATCTTTTATCTTTCATATATTCTTATGTTATTTTTATCTTATATTTATCTTTATCTCATCCATTTTATCTCACTTTATCTATTTACTCTTCTTATTTTTCTTCTATTTTTGGCTCTGATATCGTTGACCGATTCATGTTAACCGACCCCAAAATCTTTTGGGAATAAGGCTTGGTTGTTGTGCTGTAGAAATTTCTCTTGTAACTATTTTATGCGGTGTACTTATTTTCATGCTAGGATAATTCGAGTTTCAAAGACACCCTTAGTGGATATGCACTTGTTTGTGTTGGTAAACCAGATTTGCCCTTAATTAACCGCTTTCTTGGTTTGTGTCTGAGGTTCTAGGCTGTACATGGACTCTATTGTGTTGGGGATAGTTGTTTTCCAGGTCAAGGTGTCATAGCTGTGGCCTTTTCTGGAGTAATGTGTGCTCATCGTGTTGCTGCTGACTTAGGTAAACATTCTCCATACCCAATTTTAATCAGTTCGCTTTACTTGATGTGTACTACATTTATCATCACAGCCTCTAAGCTTTAATGGTGCGTTTGGAACCTGTAAAATAAAAAACAACAATAACATCCAAGCCTTAGTCTCAAAAGATTTTGGAGTCGGCTAACATGAATCGATACATGATATCACCACCAAAAGAAAAAGAAAGAAAAGAAAGATAAAAAGATACGGAGTAGTATAAAAGAGATGGATATACATAAAAAAGATAGAGTAAAAGGGATAAAAAGAGTATTTACATATATAGATAAAAGGATAAGAAAAAATAAGAAAAAGAAGATGAGGGGAAAAGATGATAAGAGATCACCCCACAGCTTTGGAACCCGTAAAATACTCGGGAAAAAACTAGGAATCAAAGCATAAATGAAACACTAGGGAACAAAATATGGGGGATAAATAAACAATAACTTTAATTGATCTTAAAGATTTGTTTACTCATTTTATTTGTCTATGTCATTATGTGACGAGTAAGAAATTTAAAAAGGTGCAACCGTGTAACATGAAACAAAAGGCTAGTTATTTCATTTTGCATTTTCCAAGGTAAAACCAGAAATAAGAAAGCAAAAATTGCCATAAATTAAGTAAAACAACTTGAAATTCGAAAATAGGAGTACTATTCCCCCCCCCCCCCCCCCCCCCAAAAAAAAAGGAGTAATTACCCCCATGAGGGGAAAATACTGCCATTGTAGCATGATTTTAGGATGATACGGAGTAGTAATTTACTCTTGTTTTCGGGGAAAACAACACTCCTATTTACGAATTTTACATTGCTTTTACCCATATTTCGGGGAATTTTCCTGTAAGAAAATTACTCTCCTTGCCTTTTATCCCTTGCCTAGCATTACCACATACCCCACAATGACCATATGAAGTTTTCCGTTTATTCTTTAGAATCTATGTATTCAGTATGATTTGTGTAAATTAGAATCTTGGCGTATTGCATAGGGGTATAAGACTACTACTTTACTTTGACCGGAAGTCATCTTCTTTACTGGCATAGGAATTGAGAGGAAATCCCCTGTGCTGGACACTGCTCTTCTTCGGCTACTTGGTTGGCTAAGAACATTTGCTTGACACACGTGTATGAGTATAAGTACATATCATTTATATCTGGAAATCTGCAACATATTTACAACAGAAGGTTGTTAATCTCTTTTCACTTTCAAGTGGCAAGAGATCCTGGAGCATCATTATATATATTGACCTTCAGGGAAAGTAATTGTTAAAATACTCGCATAAAGAATTTATCGCTTCACAATCTGGGGTATAAGTGAAGAGCTAGGTACTCTTAAGGGTCACAAATGTAGGTGAAGGGTTTTTATGTACCTATATATAGACCATGTATCCATGAAGGATGTAAACATCAAGTTATTATGCAATATTAATAAAATTGTTATTCAACACTAGTGATGTCATCAAGTCAAATTTGCAAACTCGTGTAGCTTAGCTTCCTGCAAGGTTTTATTTCAGTTTCGTGGTTTCTACTTTCTACTATCATCTGTGTATAACCGTATATAAGCAAATCAATCGTCGTAATCATTTTTTCATTAGCAACTGCTTCCCACCTTTTAGAATGGAAATTTTATATGGTAACCAGCCTTCTAAAAGGCTTCAAAAGGCCCAAAGGCAGGAAGTCGGTGTCGGTGTGAGGCGCCAACCAAATGCCTCGCACACCCACTAGGTGATGCAGAAGATGTTCCAGTCTTCTGGAATCTGGAACCCCCAATTTTAGCACACCAATAGCCACTGGGAAAGCGTTGTAAGAGGAATTCTCATCTTTCCACAATTCCACTGGTGTGGGACTAGTCATGGACCGGTCCTGGGCGGGCTTTTTGGGTTTGGCTTTGGGCTTGGAACCGGCCCGGGTTTCCACCGGGTCCGGGCCAGCCCCCGGGCTTCTTCAATTTATTTTTTTTTTTGGCTTTTCTAATTAACCCCCGACCCCTCCCCCCCCTAGGGTTGGACTCGGGCCGGGTCGGGTCCGGGCCTAGGCCCAGGCGGGCTGCCGGTTCTGAATAGTTGGACCTCGGGTTTGGTTATTTTTTTTTGTTTTTTGTTTTGCTTTCCAAAGTATCCCTGACCCCCCAACCCCAAACCCCCCCAAACCCCTCCTACACAACCCGGGTGGAACCCAAAAAAATGAAAAAACAACAAAAAATTAAATTTGGCCCGAACCGGGCCGGGTCTCATTTTGACGGAACCGTGCCCGGAACCGTCCCCCCTCGGGCCGGGTCAAAGCCCGGTACCCGGACCAGTGAACCGGGCCGGGTGGCCCAACCCGAGTCCACCACTACCCCCCCCCCCCCCCCCCCCCCCCGAAACCCCCCAAAACACCCAGCGCAACCCGGGAAAAACAAAAAAAAAATTGAAAAAAAAAGGTCCGAACCGGGCATGGCCCGCCTGGCCGGTTCTTATTTTTGTTGACCCGAGCCCGCCCTGTATGACCTCCGGGCTGGGCCTGCCCGGACCGGTCTCTGGCCGGGCCACCGGACCAGGCCGGGCCGGTTCGAAACAGTGCCGGGCCACGGGCCGGTTGGCCCGGAACCGGTCCACCACTAGTGTGGGACTAGGCTTGGACCGGTTCCGGGTAGTGATGAACCCGGGCCGGGCCTAGGCCCGGTCGGGCTTTAGAAGTTGGGAGGTAGGCCCGGAACCGGCCCGGAACCGGCCCGGAACCGGCCCGGGTAACCCCCGGGTTCGGGTCGAGCCGGGTCGGGCCTCGGGTCAAATTCTATTTTTTTTCCCTTTTCTACTTAACCTCCGACCCCCCAAACCATTACCCAGCCCAACCCGGGAATTAAAAAAAAATCGGGGAAAAAAAATTATGGTTCGAACCGGGCCTGGCCAGGCCGGTTCCTTATTTTCCTGACCCGAGCCCGCACCAGAAAACCCCCCGGGCTGGGCCTACCCGGACCGGTCCCTGGCCAAGCCACTGGGTCGGGCCGGGCCTAACAGTACCGGGCCGGGTCCGGTTCGGGGTCGTGCCACCTGCCCCGAGTCCACCACTAGTTACGGGCCGGTCCAAAAACGGTCCAGATCATTACAGATTCATCTAATGCACACTGAATTTCACTTGAAGCAAATCTAACGGTCCAGATTCCTTCTCATTTCTCTCATAAGATCGTGTTCTTATTTTACCAAAACACACACACACACATATGTGGTAAGGTTCAAGTGAGAAGAACCCATTAGGTGAGAATGAATCTCAGCCATTGGATTCGACTAAGTTGCAGTAAAAGACACTTCATGATGCACTGAAATATGCAATCTAGCACGGTGACATTTATGTAAATACTTCTGAAAAATCCGTATTACACTTGTCTAGTGCAACATGAAGTTATTTTGGTGCAACGCCGTCAAATATTAGTGCAACATGAAACAGTTTTAGTGCAACATTGCAAAATTTAAATATTATTGCAACATAAAGCCATTTTTAGTGCAACTTCGTAAATCTAATGGCTGAGATTCATTCTCATTTCTCACAGTAGAGACATTTCTCACTTGAACCAATATATATATATATATATATATATATATATATATATATATATATATATATATATATATGCCTAAATATAGGAACTTATAAATCATAACTTATAAAGCTCTCCATAATAATTACGAAAATGCCACCCGCGTCAATTTTTTTTTCCAGATTTCCGTAATTATTTTTTTGCGGTGGCATTTTCGTAATTATTTTCGAGGGTCTATAAGTTATGATTTATTGGTTAAAAGTTCCTATATTTTGTCTATAAGTTTGACTTCGCAGTTCTCTGCCTAAGAGCACTTCTCACATGATCCACTCCCTATATATATATATATATATATATATATATATATATATATATATATATATATATACATATATATATATATATACATATATATATATATATACATATATATACATATATATATATACATATATATATATATATATATATACATATATATATATATATATATATATATATATATATATATATATATAGGGGTGAGATCAGATACAAAGTATGTTTCTCATACAAAATGTAAAATCATCTCATTCGTCCAATATTATAAAATCAATGGTAGGATTTTTTTTGAACACTAATGATCATCCGTATTAATGGGTAAGGGAGTTTTTTAGCTCATACTAATCAGCCGTATTAGGTGGAGTTTTTTTAGTGGGGGAGTAAATCATCTACACCGTTATTTTATTCAAATGGATGGACATGATTCGTTTGCACTTTGTAAATTAGGATTAGTTTGTATGTGATCCTAAATCTATATATATATATATATATATATATATATATATATATATATATATATATATATATATATATATATATATATATATATATATATATAGGGTATGGTTCTAATGAGAACACCTCTTATCGTGAGAAGTAAGAAATAAAATTAAAAAATTAATATGATATGCACTGTATTATTTCCATCCCTAAACATGTGGAACGCATTAAGTGTAAGATCCGTTATTTAAACTGCCAGCAAGGAAATGATAATACGTAAATACCCTCGACTGTCGTTTACCTCCATCGCAGATCGGCATATATTTTGGAGGGTGAGGATTTGTTCTCACATCTCACATTAAGGAATGTTCTCATTTGAACCAATATATATATATATATATATATATGTACACACACACACACACACACACACACACACACACACACACACACACACACACACACACACACACACACACACACACACACACATATATATATATATAGAGTAATCTTCCGGTCAGGAATTTCCTGACTGGAGCGCCGTCCGGCCTCCTCCTTTTGGGGGCCTTCCCGGTGGTAGTTTTTGCTCAAACTTTTTGTGTAGGCTCCTCATCAAGTCTAGTTCATCCATACCAAATTTCTTCCTTGTTCTGAATTCTGATATTTTGTAGTTTTTATTTTACTGCATTACTACACAAGGTGGCAAATCTTTGCGAATGCAACAAACTTGGTGAATAAGATGCTCAAAAAATTTTATCAAGAAATTCCATCGGGAATTGCCGCAAATCGCAACGGCCGGACAGAACCTCCTATAGAAGGACTTAATTGACCTTTTAATGAAAGTTCGAGGACCTATTTAACAGTTTTTCCTATCTTTTTTATACAAATACTACATTTTCTTGATCATTTTCATCGACACATTTACTAGATAAAGTTTGCTACTTGCAAATTTTTACAAAGTGATTGTCTATTATTAATATGGTTGCAACAAACAATGTGTTACTAATCACTGAAGCTAACTTCAAACGTAAGTCACATCCACGTAATTGTTTCTGACCCTAATTCTTTCAAATATTACCATAAATTAAATGACAATATTTGACTGTGTCTCATACCATCTTGACATGAATCATATTTCTTCTTATTCCTTTTTTACTAATACATGCTAAGTTGATAGATAGAGATGAAAATTGCTAAAAAAGACTAAGTGTGTTTTTCTTCTATAGATTTACAAAGAATATTGAATGCTAATACACTCCAGACTAACTACTTACTCACATTTCCCTTCTTCTCCTCACAAAACTTCATATAGTTATTTGGTAATATATTGTTAATTTGTCTACTTTAGCTCGCTTGTATGTATAATAAAAGCTAAACTTAGTTAGCATAGTTATTTTTCCCGTCCAATTCTAACACTTTCCTTCGATGGGAGCATTCCAAATTAACGACGTTGATCACCCGCCTCTTGAAATTGCACCCGCCTACTCAACAAAGGTTTTACGGTTATCAAACCTCCATCAACTGCCACCTACCGTCCAAGAAGATTATTAGATTTTCTTCCGAAGAGAACAAGTTGAATATGTTTCTCCCACTTCGAACTTTTCCTGCACAAGCCATAAGGTATTCTCATCACATCAACCTTTTTTTTTTTTTTTAAGTAACACATACTTATACGTAGTATTTTAGTAGACTGGCAACTTAATATTCCAATTCAGGACAAATACCCTTATAATATAAACCACTACCAATTTAGAGACAAAAGGCACTGATAACAACCTCTATATATGCACTAATTACATTTTACATAACTTAATCTAAAACTTTAACAAACAGAAAAGTTGTTGCGTATGCTCTGCCTTTTTACTACATTTGCATAGTTTCAAACAGACTGAACACTGAATTAACATTACTATTCATTTAAGAAATAGATCTGCTTCTTCTTGTATTTACGGTTGCTATTTACAAAAAACAGCAACGCCGTTAGCATTTTAATGGTTACATTTTCCAAACCTATAAAGAATGCCTACATGTTGTTCGACAAAAAACCTCTTACACAAAAAACCTCGTTTTACAGTTGCATATCTCTATGCTTAGGTGGTATATATTTTTTAAAGATCATTTTTAATAACATGATGATGGCATGTTTTCCTTATTGATCCCTATGAGCACTTCCCACTGTCCCTGGTTAATTTAGTAAATCCCATTGGACCCTTGGTATTTGTTAATGATCTCATCCTAACTCTTATAGTCTTATTCAGCACATGGCCTCAAAGCAAACATTAAGATAAGTATATAATTAAGCATTTAATCGGTTGGTGACGTTGAGAGCTGTCTCTCGCGAACCCCTCGTGGTTTGTTTCTTCCCAACAGAATTATCACTTCTCTTTGGTAATCTTCTCCATTGATCTCTTGTTTTGAGCTTGGATATTAGTCATATTACCTTCAAGTCTTCTTTGGAGAGTAATATTTCTAATTTTTTAGCCCTGTCCTGAGAGTTTTGGTCAAGAAACTGAAATCGTATTCTCCTAGTTACTGTTCCCCTACGAAGGTCAACACATAAAACTCATTATTTACTCACTCGATTTTGGATTGGGGCTTGGTTTTAGCTTGTCCTAAGGGTGGGGATCAAGCATATCAACTCTATTCCATCATCAAGGTAATCCGTACATCTAGCTACTGTTCACTCCAGACTCCATTGATACGGATTCTAAGCTCAAAAACAAGGTACTTCAAGCGTAACCTTGTTTAGGAGGGGTTGCTACTATTAGCTTCCCCTTCCATGGTTTGTTAGCTGGTCTATCCATCATGCCAAAGCTCACGGGTAAGAAGGAGAAAAAGAAGGAGGTGCTACAACCTACAAAATCATCATCAAGACTTAAGGAAAAAGCTCAAGCAAGGGAAATGGAGGATGCAATCTCGGCTATGGACCAAATAAGTGATTCGGAGTTTGAGGACGAAATCCAAAAGTGTGAGGCTGAAGATTCGTCCAAACTGGAAAAGGTGTTAGAAGAAGGAGGTGAGGTAAACTCTTCACCTCTTATAAAGAATGATGTTGTTGTGAAAACTATTGATCATAGCAGAGAGGTGAATGAACCTATTATGGAAATTGTTGTTGAACCTACTGTGAAAACCGTGCATACTGGTAATGTGGAGAACCAACATGACCCGATGGCTAACATTGATGCCTATGCTGTGCCACTGGGGAACTCGATGGTGACAAATCCTCTTAGCTTGAAGGAGACAGTGCCTAAACAACCATTTGCCTCACTTTTCAAAGATAATAGGGAACCAAGCAAAGGCATGAAATTGAGATACATTGAACCGGTTGGTGAGTTTATTGACTTGTCAAAAAGGATCATGCCATCTATTACTGACTTATGGGGGTTTTGTTTGGTAGGCTACTTTGCTGGGAGGTTCCCCGGTATAAGGCCCATACAAGAGTTTGTTGCTAAATGGGGAGTTCAATGCCATATTAGGCAACATGATCGAGGTTGGGTTATCTTCAAGTTTAACAGTGAGGAGGCAAGAGGTAAAATATTGATGGAGGGGCCTTATTCGCTATTTGGCAAGTCACTCTACTTAAAAGTCCTCTCGGATGACTTTGCATTTGATAGTGAGGAATTCCTAAAGGTTCCTATTTGGGTAAAGTTCCCCTTCTTACCTATGCAAGTGTGGGATGAGGAGGTTATTAGTGAGATTGCCTCACGGGTTGGCCTCCCACTCACTACGGACCGAGTTACACAAGAAAAGGCTAGATCCAACTTTGCAAGGGTACTAATCGAGGTGGATGCTTCTAAGCCTTCTCCCCTACGGCTAAGAATTAAAATGCCTAATGGAAGATTTCATTAACAAAAGGTGATCTATGAAACTTTTCCAAATTATTGCTTTCATTGTAAAACGTATGGGCATCATGCATTCACGTGCAAGACTATTGCCGAACTTGAGAGAAAGGAAAAAGAAGCAAGGATCAAAGCAATGGAAGAGGGGGAGGATCAACCGAAACTAATTGAAGAAGTTGGGGAATTGGGAGAAAAATTACTTACTAATGATGTGGAAATTGAGGATGGGGGTCTGGCCACAGTTGAGATTAATGCCGAGGCAGGGAAAGCTGAGACAACCAAGGTAGATCCTAAAGCCGTGGCAAGCAAGGCACCTAAGGGGGAAAAAATCCACACCCTTTTTTAATGAAAAGAAGGTTGAAAAAGAAAAACCAACAGCGAGAAAGAAACAAGGCTAGAAAGAATGGAGGTTTGAGCACTAACCAAAGCTATTATGAGGAGGAAGGGGACGAACGAATCATAAGGGCATTCGATGATACATATGACGATGAAGTCATATGTGAAATGGTAACGGATGAGGTTATGACTCCTGCTCTCAAAGTCAAACACATAGATGATGTCAAAGAGCCTATTATTCGGCTGGACCACTACCTTAGGGTGGTAAAGGAAACGGATCCCGGAATATGGTTCACCCAAAGTTGTTTGGAGGGATTACCAGGAGTAAGCAAGAATAAGGATGGCTATGGATTTTCGACATGCTTCATAAGTGGTGTGCTTAGACATTACCTTTATAGGTATTATGAGGATGGTAACCCGGGAGGGAATGGAAGTAAGGTGATGGACATGAAAAAATACAAAGGGAGAGAAAACCGAGTTGTATATGACATAAAGGAGGTCTTCCGAGATGATGTCATTACAAAAATTGTTTTCAAAGAAAAGGGGCCTAATGAAATACACTTGATGCATGGTGAACTTGTAGATGAGGAAATGACAAGGTTGGATAACTACCTAGCCGTGGAGGACAACTTTAGGAGGGACGGACTGACATTTACTACCTCATGTTTGAAGTCTCTTCCGGGCATACAATACACGGATGAAAGGTATGTTTTCTCATCTCTTTTTATGATTAAGGTTTACCAACTTTTTCTTGATAGGTATGATGGTTGTGAAGAATACCGCCAATGGATACAAAGGACAAGGGAAACCAGTAGGCAATACCGCCAATGGATACAAAGGACAAGGGAAACCAGTAGGCTGCCAAGGAAAGGAGGGGGAAACCAAAACATCTTTAATGGTTTTAGCTTCTTGGAATGTGAGGGGGCTTAATAAAGCCTCAAAACAAAACACAATAGTTAATTTTGTGAGAGTAAATAAGGTACGTATATTCTGCCTCCTTGAAACTAAATTGTCTACTACTACATTTGACAATTTCATGAAGTTTAGATTTAATTCTTGGTTGTCCATTACTAATTTTGATAAGATTGGTGGTGGTAGGATTGCTATCATTTGGGATCCTAGTTTTATTGACGGGGTTATTTTACAAGTAGAAAAACAACATGTGCATGCTAGGTTTACGTGTAGAATTACACAACTACCTTTCTATACCACTTTCGTTTATGCATTATACACGGTTGTCGAAAGGAGAGAGCTTTGGGATCATATCTCTCTACTTGGGACAAATATATTAGGGCCGTGGGTTGTACTGGGTGATTTTAATTGTGTGGGGTCTCCAAGTGAGAGGAGTGGGTCTGCCCCCCCTTCGGGTTATGCTATGAAGGATCTCAATGATATGAAAATCCAATCAAATCTTAGTGATGCACCTTCTACCGGTGAACTCTTCACTTGGCATAGGCGTTCAATTTGGGCTAAGTTGGATAGAGTGCTTATCAACTCTTTTTGGTCCACACAAAATGTAACATGTAGAGCTCATTTCTTTGATATGGAGTGTGAGTTTGATCATGTTGCATCTCTGGTAACCATGGGGGCCATGAATAGGGATGGTACAAAACCTTTTAAATTTTTTAACATGTGGCTTAAACATGAACACTTTAATGGCATTTAGGAAAGTGTTTGGAGTAGGAATGTTGTTGGTACGGCTCAGTTTAGACTTGCTAGAAAACTGAAACTACTCAAACAGCCCCTTAAACAACTCAACAAGAACGAGTTCAGTCACATCACGGCTAGGGCAAAAGAATCAAAGAAGAAATATAAGAGAATCTATCAACTGGCTCTCTTATCTCCTCACGATGATGTTCTAAATGAAGAAATGTCTATTGCCAAGAAAAGGGCATTATTTTTTAAAGAAGCCGAGGAAACGTATCTTAAACAGAAAGCTAAGGCTATTCATAAAATTCAAGCGGATAGAGGAACGAGATACTTCCATTCTATTGTTAAAAAGAGGCAAACCCAGAACACTATTGCATCCCTAAAATTGGAAGATGGAAGTCTTACCAATTCTTTGGACCAAGTAGCTACTGAGTTTATTTCCTTCTTTAAAGGGTTATTTGGAACTTCAGTTGACTCTCAAAATTTTGACCCACTGGTTATGGCATCGGGTCCTACCATTGATGCTACACTTGCTAATGACCTTATCCGGCCTGTTACGGATTTGGAAATTAGGCAAGCTCTGTTTGATATTGGTAATGAGAAAGCTCCAGGACCTGATGGATACTCATCAACTTTTTTCAAAACGAATTGGGATATAGTGGGTGAGGATATGTGTGAGGCAGTTAAAGAGATCTTTGTTTCCGGGACCCTGCTTAGGCAGGTTAATCACACTGTGGTTGCCCTCATCCCTAAAACAAAACACTCCCCTACTGTTTCTGATTTCAGGCCAATCTCCTGTACAAATGTGACTTATAAGATTATTACTAAGATACTTGCATCTAGGCTTGGTCCTTGTCTCTCAAGCATTATCAACCCAGCACAGGGAGCTTTTGTGGATGGAAGGTTGATGTATGACAACATCTTCCTGGCACAAGAGTTAGTAAGGGGATATGCTAGGAAAAGGGCTAGCCCCAGGTGTATGATTAAAATTGATCTTAGGAAGGCCTGTGACACTGTTTCTTGGGGTTTCCTAGACAGAGTACTTAGGCAGATTGGTTTACCTGATATGTTTGTAAATTGGATTATGGAATGTGTTTCTACTTCTTCTTTCTCTATCTCCATAAATGGTGTTCTCCATGGATGGTTTGAGGGGAAGAGGGGACTTAGGCAAGGGGACCCAATGTCTCCCATGTTGTTTGTCATTTGTTTAGAGTATCTCTCAAGGATGCTGGACATTAAGACCTCGGTTCTTACTTTTTGCCATCACCCTTTGTGCTTTAAAGTAAAGATTTCACACTTAGCATATGCAGATGACTTGATGTTATTTTCCAAGGGGGAACTACACATCTATTAAGATATTGGTGGATGCTCTTAATGACTACGGCCAGGTCTCGGGACTTATGGTTAATCATGATAAATCCAATATCTTTTTAGGAGGGAATGTAGCGAACCAATTGGCTTACATTATGCATATGGTGGACTTTCAACAAGGAGTATTTCCTGTTAAGTATTTGGGTATTCCACTTGCACCTTTAAAGATATCGGTGGCACAGTTTGCTCCTTTGCTTGACACTGTTACAGATTATATAAATGTGTGGAACACAAAGACCTTATCTTATGCAGGTAAAGTGGAGTTGATAAGGTCAGTTATGCAAGGGGTCCAATCTTTTTGGCTTGGTATTTTTCCTATTCCTAGAGCAATACTTGACCGGATTACTTGCATATGTCGTATTTTTCTTTGGGGGGTAAGCATGCTAAAGTTGCATGGGATGATATTTGCTTACCCATAGAAGAGGGGGGTTTGGGTTTAAAAAGCACAAAGATATGGAATCATGCTCTCTTGTCTCGAACCCTTTGGAATATACATTCCAAAAAAGACTCACTTTGGGTTAGGTGGATGCACGGGGTGTATCTCCATGGGAGGGATGTGTGGAATTTTATTCCACACAATAGAGATTCTTTGCTAATAAAAAGGTTTGCTTTGATTCGAGATATGATTGTGTCCAAATTTTCCTCTATTCATGAGACAGTAGCTTATCTTGGTAAGATAGCTATTGATGGAAAACTTTCAGCATCTAAGGTGTATGATTTACTTAGGATTAAGGGTGCTCCTCACCTTTGGATGTCTTTTATATGGAAGTCATATATACCCCCCAAGTTTTCTTTCATTGCATGGCTAGCTTTTCGTAATAGGCTAGCTACATATGATAACTTGGGATATCTTGATGTGATTAATGTATGTCCTTTTTGTGAGGGTAAACCGGAAACGGTGGCACACCTATATTTTGAATGTTATATTACAGGACAGGTTTGGACAAAAATAAAGGCATGGCTCGGCATTGCAAGGCACATGACAACGTTGCGAAGCGCGGTCAAATGGATAAAGGACTATAATGGTGCACACATCAAGGCTAAAGCCGTGATGATATCTTTTTGCTACACTATATATTGGATGTGGAGAACAAGGAACTCCATTTGTTTTGAAGCCGCAAAGGTCAACGTAGAAGACATAGTACACCATATAAAGTTTATGGTGTATAAAGTGCTTTACTCCATATATCCATACCATATGATAACATTCTGATATCATTTTGCTGTTTCGTAACCATTTTTTGTGATGGCTAGCATGAATATGTAGCTAGGTAGGTTTTTGTTTTTTGCGTGGTGGCAGGGCATCCTTCCTAGGGATGACCTATATGGCTTTCTCTGGTTTTTTGACTGTTGTACAGTTGTACATAAACACTCTTGGATATATATATATATATATATATATTTACAGTTTATCCAAAAAAAATAAGATAAGTATATAATCCATATCAGGGACACTATGAAGCCAATCAAAAAAATATTTTCGCCATCACAACCTGAGTAATCCTCATAATGGAGTATGTTTTGGGTTATGGCGTAATTTATTCTGGTCTCTGATGTGGAACAGTAAAAAGGCTGCGATGTCATGTGATGATAAGACGTACTATTGAGATACAAAAATAAAAGGGTAACTGAAGCTTAAATTAGCATATGGCTGGTATGCTCTGTAGGTGAAATTAAAAGTTGAACGGGTACGCAGTTCAGGTGCTTAAATATGTTTTTTATTGGTATACTGTCGGACAGACTTTTTGTTTCAAATTTTTCCACCCAGTTTACTTCTTGAATGACCCTCCCACATAATTGATTGCATCAGTAGAATTTTTCATTCACTTCTACTTTGATTAGATTTTATAATGTTATAATTCCTTACATAGTCCATTAATAAACATTATTCTCTTTCATCCCTCAGGTTCCTACAGAATGTGGGGAAGTCAAATGTCATGAATTTTCAAATCCAGTTTGCTACAGGAACACGAGATTCGCGGTGCCACAACCTGATTCCTTGGATAAATTTCAGGGGGAAAAGGTGCAAATAGGCCCATGTACTAACCAAAAAAGGTCAAATAAGCCCTTATTTAGGATGCTCTGTCCGGCCGTCGTCATTTCGGGTGGTTCCCGGTGGAATTTTTTGATGAAATTTTTTGAGCATCTTATTTATTAAGTCTAGTTTACTCATACCAAATTTCAGCTAAAACTTCAATCGGGAAGACATTCAAATGAATTCTTGAACATAATTGCGCAGTTAGAAGCGCAGATATCTTCAAGAATTCATTTGAATGTCTTCACGATTGAAGTTTTAGCTGAAATTTGGTATGCGTAAACTAGACTTGACGAATAAGATGCTCAAAAAAATTCATCAAAAAATTCCACCGGGAACCACCCCAAATGGTGACGGCCGGACAGAGCCTCCTAAATAAGGGCTTATTTGACCTTTTTTGGTTAGTACATGGGCCTATTTGCACCTTTTCCCAAATTTCAGGGAGACACTGGAAAGGAATCTCATATACTCCCTTCTAGGTCTCGAAAACGGGCATTTCTGCACTACTCATCATTACTGGAAACAAATAGCTATAAACAAACAGTAGTACATGAGACCTTACTGGAGCAGGTAGATGATGTTTCTTACCCAAGAGACCTTACTGGCTAACAAACAAATGTGTGCTTTTAATATTAGGTTGGCTGGATATAACAAAATGGATAGTTGTTGCTTTTCACCCTTGAATGACTCTGATAGTGGTGTTTCTTGCTCTATTGGTAGTTGTAGTGTTACTGGTGAAAGTCATGCAGAGTTTCCTTTTCATTTTGTACCAGGTGCGCTTTGTAGTGATGCAGAGTCAGTTTGTTGTTCTGTAGTGCGGGGAATGTTTATTCTTCTCCTCATCGTCCGGAAGAGGATTTAGTAGAAAGCATTTATAGATTAGAGTTCCATGCTTATCATAGTAGTATTCTAGAGGCAATGTAATGCTATTGGACCCTTAAGTTGGGAACAGGAAACAATGTCGACAAATCTTTGCATCACACTACATATCTCAAATGATGATCATTTGTTGGAATTACAGAGAACCCAATTTCTGCTAAATCTAGCAAGTAGTATGTCAGACAATAGTTTGTAGCAGTTGGCTCACATTTGTAAAAGTCAAGGTTTCATTTTAACATTGTATCTTCTATCTTGGTTATAAATTATCTGAATATTTGGATAAATAGATTGTTTATCCAGGTACTTGATTATGTCATTTTCATTACTTTAAAGTGTATCAAAGTATTTCAAAGAAATGAATGGTGCAAATCATGTTTTATTATCTCTTAATTTGCACCATTGTACCCCAAGGTTGTTAAAATCGTATTTTTGAATCGAATCGGTAGATGTTTTTGAAAATCGAATCGTAAAATCGAATCGCAAATCGTAAGATTTTATTTAACATATTTTAATAATTATAAAATAAATAAATATTAAAATTAAGTTGCAAGTTAATGGTATTACATAGTATATCATTTCATTACATCAAACTTTACCAACAAGTTCAAAAACAAGATTTATAAACTGTTTTTATAATGTAAATGTAGTGAATAATAACATTAAACATATGTACAACATAAAAATAATTAAGTAACACAAGAATCCATTACTTTTTAAAATACATTATTCATATTATTATTATTATTGGAATTATGTATCAATTTGTAGTTTTTAATTTTAATAAATTTGAACCATTTTCACTAAAAACAACTTATTATGATTTTGCTACGATTTTATATGATTCTACACGATTTTAGTACGATTTTTTTACGATTTTGTACGATTTTATGATTTTACGATTTTACCTGCGATTTGAATCGCTTTATTAATGTAGAATCGTACGATTTTATGATTTAAATCGAGATTTTAACAACCTTGCTGTACCCCAAGTGAGGTGCAAAACATAACAAAAATATGGGTGCAATATAAAAGAGTTTTTGGGGTGCAAACTCAAATATTTAGATAACTTGAGTTCTAATACCAATTTTTCCTTCCATGTTCGCCTAGGGAATGGGTCACAATCAAGAAGATTGTCTCCGGTGTCTATTTCAATTATTCAAAGATTTTTTTATGATGGCTATAACGCAGCTAGGGCCTAGGGTTGTCTCTACATCCATGTACTGCAGTTTTCTCTTACTACCTCCGTCCCTTAAAACTTTGCCAAGTTTGACCTGCACGATGATTAATAAAGTAAAAATTGTGTGGTTGAGGTTTGTGCAGAGGAGAGAGAATTAACTGGAACCACAAATTTTTTACTTAAAAGGTAAAGTGGCAAAGTTAGTGAGACATCCAAAAATGGAAAGTTGGCAAAGTTTTAAGGGACGGAGGGAGTATGATATAAAGTACAACAATGCTTGTTGTACACACTCTTATACCCACCTTATACCCACCATGTTTGTCAATTTTTTTTTGTCTGTGAACCCGATTCACAAACAATATTTTGTTTGTGCAAAATATTGTCTGTGAGCCGGGATTCACAGACAAAAAAAACCTTCACAAACATAGGTGTGTACAAATGTGGGTATAAGAGTGGGTACAAAGATCATTTTTGTATAAAGTATGAGTGCAAATATGGAGATCAATGTCCATACAATTTTGCAGCATATAAAATATACCTTGTACTCCCTCTATCCCTTTTTTATAGCCAATTTGACTTTTGAAGTCAAAGAAGTTAAACTTTGTCTGATTATATATTTGTATACGGTAATTTGTATAATATAAAAATGATATGAAAACGTTCTTTGTTAAAAACACTATCATAAAAGTATAAATTTATTAAGTTTCACGTGAATATATTAGTTAATATAATGGATCAAAGTTAACTATTTTTGAATGGAGAAATCAAAATGGCTAAATAAAAAGGGACGGATGTAGTATTAAGCAGCTTAATGTGACAGTCCCATGGGGTTGGCAAGCATTTTTAGTGGAATGAGAACAAAATAAAGCATGTGATATTATATGTTTATCAATTTTTAAAAACTATATTGGGCACCCATCGCACGTAGTGCCGTAAAACGCTAGTGTGTGTGTGTGTGTGTATATATATATATATATATATATATATATATATATATATATATATATAGGGAAGAGTTCAAATAAAAAGACCTCTACTCGTGCAAAGTGCGAAGACATGCACTTTTTCATGTTTCGCTTGCACTTGTTCGTGTTTTTGTTCCACTTCTTCGCGGTGGCGAAAAAGTGCAACATATTTACGAAAGTGTCACCGCGATTTGGCCGAATTTTGTGCATTTTTGGCCCATTTTGAGTCATTAGATGTGAAAATTTATGCACAAGATTCATTTTCACTTTGCATGGGAGGAGCTCTTTGTATTTGAACCCCCTATATATATTTGCTTTTCTAATTAACCCCCGACCTCCCCTCACCCCCACCCCCCTCACCCCCTCAAAACACCCAACCCAACCCGGGAAAAACAAAAAAAATTGAAAAAACAAAAAAAGCCGAACCGGGCCCGGCCCGGCCGGTTCCAAAGGAAGGGTAGACCCGGAACCGCACCGCTCTAACATCCCAGGCCGGTCCTAGGCCCGGTTTCTGGGCCAGTTCCCGGGCCGGGCCTACTGGAACCGGTCCATCCTTATGTGGGACTAGGACAAACTCAAGCGTAAGAGTTTTCAAATTTCCAATGGTTGACTTCGTAAGTTCGTACAGACTATAGTCTATAGCTATGGTTAGGGCTGTGCATTAACCGGGTCGGACCGTATTTTAGACCGGAACCGGACCGGAATGAACCGGACCGGTATTAACCGGTCCGGGTTTCGGTCCTTAGTTTTTCAAGATTCCGGGTTCCGGTCCGGTCCGGGTCAAACCCGGAAAAAAACAGGTCCAGACCGGAATAGAGCGGTAACTTATTTTTCGTAAAATATATACTTCGTTCTATGTCATTAGTCATTATGTTTATGGCTTACTTTTGTCTTTTATTATACATGTAAACGAATATATACAGAGTGTATATTTGGTGTCTAATTATTTCTTAAGTTGTTTTTTATTTGTTTATTTATGTGCATGTGTGCACTATTATGATTGTAGTTTATATTTGTTTGATTTTTCCGAATTCTTTTTAATTGTTTCTTTATTTGCAGGTGTGCATGTAGTTTATACGTAGTATATTTTTGGACGTAATTTAGTTTTTATTACCGTACAATAGATTTTTCCATTGTAATATACAAAAAAATATCTTAGTTTTAATTATTGTGGGAAACAAATTGTTACGATTGAATAGTTTTGATGACTACATCCCAAAAATAATAAATGAGCTAAACAATTATTTAGTCTATTTAGCATATCTGCACATAAAATTATAGTTTAAAACAACATCAACATCCAAGCCTCATTCCTAAAAAAATTTGGGTCGGCTAATAAGAACACTCTAAGATAATATATCTTTTTTTAAAACCGGGCCAATTAGGGTCAAAACCGGACCAGACCGGAAAATTCAGGTCCGGACCGGTCTGGACCGGTTAGATTCAGGTCCGGTCTTCGGTCCATTGAAAATGATGATTCCGGTTCCGATCCTAACCGGTTCCGGTCCGGTCCGGTTTTGGACCGGTGCACACCCCTAGCTATGGTCATTTGTTAAACTATCCAAATAATCCAACTTTGTTTTCATTTATATAATTATAATTCTAAATACGCTAAACAAGTAAACAACTACTAATTATTATTATTATTATTACTTTATAATTAATTATTATCATTATCGTCATCTTCATTTTTGTAATCACGTGATTATTATAATTATACTACGTATCATACAATATCATACGACTATTTTATTGGGTTTAATGCAACCAAACTACCCTGTGATATAGAAATTCAGCACATTAGCCCTCTGTGATTTGAAAAATGCGTCAAACCCCCTTGTGTTTTAATTAATCATGCACAAAACCCCTTTTGTGAATAAATATAACGATCTAGAAACCACTTTTCCTAATATTATGATTGAATATGCAAGTAAATATGTCATAATCTCTGAATCATACATAAATGTTAATTATTTTTCTTTTACTTGACAATTGGATTTGTTCATAGAAGAGATTTTGCGCATAATTAATTAAAACACAATGAAGTTTGACACATTTTTTAAATCACAGGGGGCTAATGCGCCAAATTTTAATTTTTGTGTAATAAAAATACTCTATCATTCATGGCAAATCGAAAGTCACTCCAGGTTAGCAGTCCATTCTTTTCTAGAATTGGCTCTCCTGCTGTATGGACGCTTGTCTACTCCACATGACTCACAAACATTGATAAATATTATAGAACTTGGTTGTCTTTCTGAAAAATTGGCGGAGACAACCAAGAGATATTATCTCCGGGGTATTAGTATTTTCACTTGTAAAATAGCTTCAAGTTTTCTGGTGGCTACCACAAGTGTGGAAAAAGGTTTGTAGCCATAGAAAACTGTGAAGAACATATTGCACAATCGAATGGGGACACTTTGAAGAATGACTCCTTAGTTACTTTTGTTGAAAAAGATCTTTTTGAAAGTGTTGACAATGAAAAAATTGTACAACGTTTTTGAAATATGAAAACGCGATGCGGACAATTGTGAACTAGCACTATAATTTTATAAATGACAATATTTACTATTTAGCTTTATATATTTTTTTATTGATTTATTTAGCTTTATATATTTATACATTTATATATAATACTCCCTCCGTAACTTAAAAACCTTCCCACTTTCCTTTTTCGTCCGTAACACAAAAATCTTCCCATTTCTAAATCTTCCCATCATACCCTCTATAATTCTTAAAATAATACACTATTACAACTACTTTTTTTGGATTTATCCTACATTCCACCACATTATTCCACTATTTTCCCATCATACCCTCAATAATTCATATCATTTTTCACTATTCTTAATCTATCTACTTTTGAAATGGGAAGATTCTAAAGTTACGGAGGGAGTATTACCTTACTTTATTGACACCACTGATATTAAATGCTGGCTTCATTCGTGATTAGACCGCTGACAGCTAGACATATCATTGGGAGGCATCTTAATTGTTTTGACACATTAGGAGGCCGTGCAAGAAGTTTATATCCGTTAGTTTGTTAGTTGGTTGTGATGAAATAGTTAGCCGTTGTACGTTCAGTAAGGCTAATATATTAACTAGCTTGGTTATGAACATTTCTTTCTCACAATTCTCTCAGTTCATCGATATTATTCTTCATGTTTGAATTAAA